TTTCCGCATATTGAATAATTTAAGATAATTATTTCCAATGATACAATGGCTTGAGTCGAGATATCATTTAATTTACTAAGAAGGTCATTCCAAAATGGTTGTAAATCATTATATTAAAAACAGAAGTGTTTTATAGAATCATATTGATCACAAGCATCACAGTTAGGCGATTTTTTATATTTGATTCTATATAAATACGAGTTGGTTGCTATTAGTTTATGCATAATTTTAAATTGGAAATGTCTTAGTTTTGGATCATTTGTAAGTTTGAATGTATATTTTAATGCTTTTAGGTTATTGTTACGAAAATTAGTCCATTTACCTAAAGGTGAATCAATGTTTTTCAATTTTCTTATTTCTATATACGACTCATGACTTATTTTAGTAAAATTTAATAACTTAAGTTGTTTGAACTATACTTGTTGAGTCTCTTCTAATATGACATGTTTTTATTTTTGCTATTAATCCATATAACTTAGTAAATTCTGTTTTTAGGCTTGTTTTAGTTATAAAATTTTCGAAATTCAAATATTGGCCATTTTCATCTAGTAAATCATAAACTTGGTTGATACCCTTTTTATTCCATGATTTATAAAATATCATATTATTGTTTATTTTAATGTTTGAATTGAACCATAAGATTTGTATCATAATTTATTTCGGACCATGCCAGTAACACTTCCTTCAGAAATTCATTTTTCATATTTATTGATAAAATATCTTTTTTTATTTAAGTTTAAATTAAATAGATTCATATCTGGATCAAGTTTAAGAATTTCAACTATTTCATTTTTCCTTGTTTCCATTTTTTTTTTATGTTAAATGTTTTGATTCCCGAATTTGTGCACGACCTATGGCGCAATTTTAGTTACGATTTTTTTTGTCTTTTCTTACCCAATTCGGACAGTTCGGAAATTCGGAATTTTACACCCACCGTTCCCAGGGCATTAACGATGCAAATTGCACTACAGTCGTCTGCTAAAATAATAAATAATAGGACATAGCGGATGGGAGCAAGTAATATATCCGGAGAACAGTAGAACATGCAGGACAAAGTTATACTATTCGTCGGTAGAAGGGGATAGATGGTGGGGGTGAATGGAATGACGAATTCTAGTAATTGTTCGATTCATTGATTTTTCTTACAGATTTAGGAGCATTCACTAGTCTGGGTGCTACAGATATGTATGATGAAGATGTGTGGGAATGGTTTAATGGTGTACCGATTGACAGATCACATTTCGCACCCGATGACCCCAATAACTACGAAAATACTGACCACTGCTTGTTCTTTCATACCGCTCTGAACGATTACAAATGTGATATCTTGAAGTTTGGATTTATCTGTCAAATTCCAACTATTCAAACTTACCTTCCCTCAGCTGGGACTGTTTAGACACAACTATTTATCGATGTGGCTGTACAGACAAGTTTCAAAAATATACCGCAGTCATGGGACACAAATCAATGGTTATAGTTACGCTACACTTACGCACTTATGCGAAAGCCGGAGTGATCTTTGTTTGATTGACACAGAGTAAAACTCAAAAGCTAAGAACTCATTTAACACAATAATGATAAACTCTGTATTTGACATGGGTCCGAATTAGTTCTTATACACTTAGGATATGGTCTTGTCTACCATTCAGTCAATGGGAAACAATTTGATTTGTAGAATATTTTTAGCATTAGCTTCGGTTTAAATTCAACTCCCTCTAAATATTTCAAATTACAGCCTGTAAAAAGAAAAGATCTTTATAATATTTCATTATATTATGCAGTCGTTTAAATA